ATCAAGGCCTCAAGGCTGGATGGACCCTCTCGAAACCGACTGACACCGCTTCCCTCAGCCCGCTCCATTTATGCCCGTGGCACCCACCACTCCAACGCCACTTTCACTCTTCAGACTCCCGCCTCCGAGATCTTCGCTAGCACCGACTTCTGCTTCCTCAGCCCTGAGGTCACTGAAGGCCCCTACTACGTCGCTGGCGAGTATATCCGTGAGGACATCACCGAGGACCAGGCCGGTGTCGATCTCGCCCTCGACCTCCAGGTCTACGATGTCGAGACCTGCGAGCCCGTTCCCAACGTCTACCTTGAGATCTGGCGTACGTTTTCTTTTTCTTTCTCGCCACTTCCCGCCATCGTTCCCCAGTGTTTGTTTCCACCTTTGGTAGACCCACAAAGCTAACTCTCCATGTTCCAGACTGCAACAGCACTGGCGTCTACTCCGGCGTCTCCGCCAACGGCAACGGCAACGGCGACGCCTCCAACCTTAACGCCACATTCTTGCGTGGTCTCCAGCAGACCGACGCCGACGGCATCGCCCAATTCGAGACCTTGTTCCCCGGCCACTACACCGGCCGCGCCACCCACATCCACGTCATGGTGCACGTCGACCCGACCGTCTTCCCCAACAACACGATCCGGTCTACCACGGCCTCGCACGTCGGCCAGATCTACTTCGACCAGGATCTCATCACCGAAGTCGAGGCTGAGCCCGTCTACAACACCAACACCCAAAAGCTCACTCTCAACTCCGACGACATGCTCCACCAGCAAAGCTTGCAGGTCGGCGACCCCATCGTCAACTACGTCTACCTCGGCTCTACCGTCTCTGAGGGTCTGCTCGGCTGGATCGGCTTCGGTATCAACACCACGCTTTCCAGGGACGTCTCTGCTGCTGCTACCTTCTACGAGAGCGGCGGCGTTGCGAACTCCAACGGTGGCTTCCCCGGTGGCCATCATGGTGGTCCTCCTAGTGGATTCCCTACCGGCGTTCGCCCTACCGGCGTTCGCCCTACTAACGCTTCTTCTTCGGCCGCTGCCACCGCTGCCCCGGCTTGCAACGCTAAGAAGAACTAACCTGCGTTTCCTGACCCAGCTTGCAACGCCAAGGCTCCCTCCAAGAAGAAGCAAGCTTGATACCAGGCTTAGTTGGGCTCAAGGTTCTGATGATCAGTCAGGTCAGATTCCTAGAGTATGGTGTGCGTATGACGGAATACGATGGAGAAGATGGTGTGGTAATGGATGGGACACTCGTTTTAGTTGGTTAAGAATCGGATGTATGTAAAAATCTATAGACATACTTAGTTAGCCTAAACCCAGCATATCTGCTTGAGCGTTATTCCGTACCATGGTCAAAAAAGTGTCGTCTGTTTGGTTCTTTTGGATACCCTGAGATCATTGGCGGACCGAAGGCCGCAAGTTGGTTCCTGAGGATGTGCTGTTACAGGGCAGCAAGTGGAGAGAACATACCGGCAGTCTTGGGAGCCTATGTCAAAGGTTGCTGTTTTGGATGAATCTCGTTAGTCATCGCTGATCGAACTCTGCTTTCGCACCTTGCTTACTCACGACACTGAGACAGAAGCCCAGCTCTGGTTGAATGTGTCGTATCACAATTATGGTATTTATATACAAAGTGCTGAACCAATCAGAACATGCTCGTACATCACCAACGCTTCCATGCCCGCTTATACTGATATTGCCCTGGCAACAAAGTTTACTAAGCACCCACTGCTCAGACTGGTTCTTTGTTGACATCCAAAGGCGCCGAACCAAGCTTCTGGGTGGTTACGAATGAAACAATTTCCGAAACCCAAAATCGTGGACGGTATATGACTTGGTAACCAGTGACCAACACCGTTGCTCCGCCATGTATAACCAGCTCTCGCCCATCCCCAGAAACGTTGAAGCCTACTACGGGCTGGTGCTGAAATGATAATTCTCCCAGAGGTACTCATAATCCTCCAAAATGCCTCCAATCAAGCTCGGCATCCGTCTCCTCACGCCCTCCACCATCGACTTTGTGATATTCTCGTAGAACGCCCCGCGCATCATCCACCACCCCAAGGCCCAGCCTCTACGGCTCCATTCCTCCCGTTCGAGCGGCGTCGTCCGTAGGCTGCGATCTCGCAGCTGCCGAGCGACCAACTCTATCGCCAACCCAAGCACCCACGGAGCCCAGGCCTTGCGCTTGTCCTTGCTGCGAGCCATGGCCACTGCAAATGCCAATGGTGACAGAATATGCAGGATCTCAGCAACCTGCGCCGATCCTTGTAGCTGATTGACCAGTTTTGCCGCCGGCTTGATGTCGTCGGCTGTTAGCACCCGCGAAAGGAGGTAGCTGCTGATGTCGCCGGGCGAAGGTAATGTCGGCAGCGACATGCCGGTGCGGGGCATGGTCCATTCTCCATCCGGTGACGACTGCTGTGGCGACCCTGATGCGCTGGCGTATCCGCTGTCGTCCCCTTGGAAGGCGGATTCCTCGTCGGTTGGCGCTTCGGGCAGAGGCTCTCGCTCGGGCAGAACCGGGGTAATCAGTGGCCGTGACTTTGTTATCCTCAGCAGAAGAAGCTTGCAAAAGGCCTTGATGGCCTCTATTATGATGACGGCGCGCCAACGCATGCGCTCGCCGCGGCGCTTGGCCGCCATCTCGATTAAAAGCTCGACATAGTTGACGATCTGCAGAAGATAGGCTACGCGCCGGTAGAGGGGACTCTTGAGGAACCAAAAGCGGATGTATCGTTTATGCGGAGAGGGCGCGTTTGCGAGTGATGGCTGAGATAGCTTGGAGGATGCACGGAATAGCAGGGTATCATGGTAGAGAGAAAGGAGCTGGACGCCGCTGTGGATGGACTCGGAGGCAATCTCGGCATCCCGGAAACGGCCTGTAGACGGTGTTAGGAAGCGGTAAGCGATGATGCGACGCGATGATTGCACAAACCAGGTATGATGTATGTTAAGGAACGCAGGGTCGATTCTATCTGGGAGACCTGATGATTGTTCTTGGTGATGAAGTTGCCGTACGCGCCCAGCCAATTTGTCGACATGGTGCTCTTGACATCTGTGCTAGTAGTCGATCGCTTCGTTGCTGACATGGATTGGATGATGGGATTTGGACCCTTGAACCTAGGGACGTCGGCAGCTGTCGACATTGAGGATCTTGAACTGTCCTTTTTCGGATGATGATCTCGAGATTAGGGGCGCGACATTGACCGAGAGCCGGAACCGGGATGAAACGTCGGCGATTAATCGTGTCGCAATCAATCCCGAACTTGATATCGGGAAGACTAGAGTCGAGATTCCGCGGAGAGGGTGGGAGGGGGGCGAGCGGATGGGAGCTAGTAGGATGGATAGTCGCGGAGGTCCGATTATGGTGCGATGATGAAGTCGCTAAGTAGACTGGTATGACGATATCGCAACCTCGGGGTATGCGACAGACGACTTGAATGGATGGATGGATGGGGTGGATGGGATGCCCTGGATTGAAGATGGAGACGGCAGACAAGAACTGACGGTAGAGTCGAGGCCTAGGTATCAGTCGGTTGCAGAACAGTTCTCGATCCGGGGAAGTTCGTCAAAAGGGAAAACCAAGTGAACGGTCGGTGCGGTGCCAGGTTCAGGTCGCCAGGAGGTGGTGGATAAACCGTGGATCTGCTGTTACATGGAGGTAGGCATGGGCCTCGGCTCCTCCTGGAGGCTGCAGGAAAGGCGCCGAGGTGCTGTGTGATTGTGGAAAGTGCTGTGGCGCCTCAGGCAGCAAGGGCCACAGGGCTGCTCAGGGGGTCGAGCGGGTTCTTCCGGGGCGGTAATGTGGGGGGACAAAGCTGGGGTGCAGGTGCCGTTCGACGTCAGGGGCACTGTACCCTGCCTGCCCGTGAACCACATCAAGCCTCAACCTAGGTTGCGCTGTGATGAGACAGTGCCCTCTTATCGCTCCCGGTAAATCTCTTGCGAGGACATAAGAAAAAGCGGCACGTATGTTCCGCCCAACAGCACAAAGATCCAGTCCCAAGCTCCATCTATCGCCTTCCAGTTTCGAAAAGCGTCGGCGCGTAATTTGTTTTTCTTCGTTTTGAAAGCGAACCATGCCGTGGAAGGTGACCAAGCCCACTACGATATAATTTTGCCTTTAGATTTTGACTGACGGAAACCAACAGCACAAGACAGCAGAGACCAGGCAGCGGGTACGCGAAAACCAGCGGCGGTCTCGGGCCCGCCGGGAGGAGCTCATGCGTGACTTGCAGCGGCGCTTGGATGAGCAGGAGCGGCTCGGTGTCCAGGCCACGTTCGAGATGCAGCAAGCAGCCCGTCAAGTGGCGCACGAGAACAAGAGACTACGTGCCTTGCTATTTCAGAAAGGGGTCTCTGATTCTGAAGTGGACGAGTTCCTAGGTCGTGGAGATCCGGGTCCCATCGACAATCAGCAGGTTCATAATAATCGCCTCGTGCTGAACGCGGAGCAACCCAAGACACCTGCACGCAGCTGCAATCTGGAAACGCCACGCGAAAACCCGCCACGCAGAACGGAAGACAATTCGCGTCTTCTCGAACCGATCGGCCCGCTGGACGAGGATGACACACCGACAGTTCTGGAAGATTGGCCACGTTCTAGCGAAACCTCCTCGTCGCATCTAACCGATCCAGATGTCCGCTATAACTCGGGCATGGAGACGTCCTGCGATGTCGCGGCTGCGATCCTCGCCAATATGCATGGTCACGCAGACACCAGTCGTATACGGGTAGTCCTCGGTTGTACCGGCCCGAGCGACTGTATCGTCAAGAATACGAGAGTGTTTGACCTCTTGGACGAAGCAGCATAATTCTATCCGCCATCATAAACTGCCTTCTCTATATTATCATAAATTGCTAATATTCTCGCAGTGTCTTGCCCTCAAAAAAGATACAATCCTCTGATGATGGCATCCGTATTACTCCCTACAGCGCCCTTTTTTGGCAGACGGGAAAAGAAACACATGGATGTCCATCTTGTGCTTTCTTACACCGAACTCAGTTCTTCCACGCCCACCGGTTGCCAGCCCACCGCACGGCGTAAACCAAACCAATCAATACCGGCACCTCAATCAACGGCCCGACGGTTGCCGCCAGCGCCTGATCGCTGTTAGCTCCGAACGTTGCCACGGCGACGGCGATGGCGAGCTCGAAGTTGTTACTCGCAGCTGTGAAGCTCTGCGTCGCAGCGAGTGCGTAGCCCATGCCCATACGGTACGTCACGTACAGCGTCACGCTGAAGATAAGTATGAAATACACAAACAGCGGCGCGGCCACGCGCAGCACCGACACAATCTGATGGACCACAGCGTGGCCTTGGCTGGCAAAGAGTACCAGGATAGTGTACAGCAGACCGATTAAAGACCAAGGGCCCGCGAAGCGCAGGAAGACCTTCTCGAACCAGACGGGACCAGCGAGCCAGCGGAGGGTAAAACGGCTAAGGATGGCGGCACCGAGGGGAATCCCGAGAAAAACTCCGACGCTTGTAGCGACGATCTCGTACGAGACGTCCCGCACACCAGATTCGCCGCTAATAACGCGAATAAAAAAGACAGCCAGCGGAGCAAAGAGAACCATCTGGAGGATGGAGTTTATGGCAACCAAGATGGCGCAGTACTCGTTATCGCCACCGGCGAGGCCAGTCCAGATGAGCACCATGGCAATGCACCTGCCAAGGCCGACGAGGATGAGGCCGACACGCAGTTCCTCCTTGTCAGGTAGGAATGCCCATGATAATGCGAGCTGTCACCGGGCAAAGTTAGTCTTGGAATAACTTTCATACGTAAGGCGAGATTATCGGCAAGAGATGCTTACCATCAGGAAAGGCGCAACGATCCAATTCACAAGGATGCTGAACCCAATCTGCTTCCAGATGTCGCGGTGGGAGAAAAGCTCGTGCAGAGACTCGTATCGCACTTTGCAGAGGATAGGATACATCATCACCAGGAGTCCAATGGCAATCGGGATGGATACACCAACAAATGTCCCCTTTTGCAGTGCCGGGCCGACATTGTCGACCAAGTTTCCTAGCAGAACGCCGACGGTCATTGCCAGGAAAATCCACACGGCCAAAAACCGATCGAGAAGGCCAAGGGACTTGAATGCCGAAACCTTCTTTTGCCTATCGTCGACTGTCTTTCTTGATGGCTGCTTCTCGACGTCTTGAGGTTGGGCATCTTTCGCGGGTATAGTAGGACTTTCACTACTGGAACCTATCTCGGCCGTGCTGCTCGCATCTAGGATCACGGTTTTCGTGGTCATGATGGTCGTTTGTGACGTTGGTGCTGCTTGATGTATTCGTTTGAACGTGAACAAGACGATAAATAAAGGTGTAGGGAAAACAAGCGGTCCTTGGTTGCGTCTCTGGCTCGAGGCTTTGGCTTGAAGTTAATGAAGAATAGTTAGGTACTTGTAGGGACCAACCTATTCAGTGGATGCTATGGCACCTCGGCCAATCATGCAGAGGGTGTGACACGCACCCATAAACGGGTCTAGACTAGGCGGTTACTTCTCCGGCACACAACCCTACCCATCACTAGGTACACTATTAGTGTATCAATACGCGCACGTGGTAGTCTAATAGGCAGCGAGTGTACAGTTACCCGACTTTTGCCTTGCTACAAGTAAGGAGCACTTCCTCGAGGACTTCAGGATGGCCATACCCGGTAAGGGAATGGTCCATGCTCGTCAAGGCCCTTCTTACGGTAGGTTTTCGCCTCTCCTGTCACACTACGATGCGCACTATACGAGATGACCCGTCAGATCAAATTCGAAGCTAATCATCCTTCTTGAAGTGTCATCGGGGGTTTGTTGTTGTACCCCAGGATGATGTTGGCATTCCAAGCTCTGGAGCATGGATAGAACCAGCTTGGAATTGGAATGAGGGCAAGACGCAGGAGATAGAGTTCAAACGTCCGATGTCCAGCATCAAGTTGGTCAAGTTCATGGCGAGATACACGATAAGTAGAGGCAGGTACGAACGAACACGATAAAACAAATGCCCGGAAGGTAACATAGACAGTTCGGAATCGGAACCGGAACGGAACATGGAATACCCAAAGACAACCCATACTTTTAGGTCGGTACATTACTTCCATCTACGTTTATCATGCTGGAGCATCAAGCCATATCGTCCACTGACGCAATGCAATTGAAGGGAGGAGCGCATAGGAACGGAGAATTCTTGTTACGAAATTCTTAATGCGAGCCAGTCACGCCATAATTGCAGCCAGTGGAACAATCGAAATTGCAAACAAATCCAACTTCTCTCAAGCCGCTAAAAACTTACTCTTAGGTTCCAGGGAGAGAACTACTGAAACAGCCAAATCAAAACACACCACCCTCAAGCTCAACAACGACGAAGTTCCAGTACGCGAAAGGGAAAACGGAAAAAAATAAAAAGGAAATATAAAATCGGTATATCAAACTGGGCATCCAACGGCCTCAAAGTCTTGAGCTAAGTCTGTTCTCGCCCGGCGCGTGATAATCGGGAACCTTCATTTGGAGGGCTTCGCCCGAGTACCCCAAGTCTTCAGCGACAAGGACAGCCGCCTTCTCGCCGATGAGCAAAGCGGTCGAATAACTAAAGAGTGCGGCTATGATTAATGATGTTGTTACAAACAGTCTTCGAACAATGGGGTAGCTAATACTTACGTGTTGCAGCCGACATTATCAGGACAGATACTAAGGTCCGCCACCTTCAAGCCCTTTACGCCGTGAACGTTGAGGCGCTCGTCCAAGACGCCGTGCTTGACAATGCTATTTCCTTCCCGGGGAGCCATGGAACATGTCTGCATCAACACCAAGAGTTAGCAATCTGTGTTGCGATGTTCCCATTTGTGAAGGCTTGAAAGCAACTTACGCCCAGGCAATGCCACGTCGTCTCGACATGCCGCTTCACCCAATCCTCGACGGCTTTAATGTCCTCATGAGAATACTTCAGCTCCCTCCTCTTTGCTTTGCGGTTGCTCGTCACATGTAGCACGTTGGGCTTCTCATCCGCCGGTGGCACTGGCACCGTCCAGCTGCCGTGTTGGATACCAGCAGTGATGTTTCCAGGTAGAGCATACTTGTTGGTGTCCTCCAAGTCGAGGTCGTGCGCGCGTGCCGGAGAGTCGAAATTGAAGAAAGGATGCATATTCTGCACTTCACCAGCATAGGCATCCATCCTGCGAGCGGTTTCACGCGACTTGATATAGCCCCATACCATCGGAACCATATCGCGCTCATCATTCATAAACCCGGCATCAAAGTCCGGTACTTCGTACGGGTCAGCCGACCTGATGTGTGTCGAACCGCGTGAGAAGGGATACTCCAGGAAGTGAAACATGGTAAAGAAGTTGCCAGGAGGCCTGTGCCATGCGACAACTACATGTTAGTAATGAGTACTCCATCATCGAGTTACTGGCCAAAGGGTACTTCTCACATGAGCATACGGTCTCCGAACCAGCCGGCAATCACCGAGTAATGCATTACGGGCTTATCCGGCTTGTTCTTGAAGTACGTCTCCCAGCCCGACTTGAAATGCGGAGTTGGCCACTGCTCAAAATCCTTCAGCTCTTTCTCAGTTGGCCGAATCTTCACGCCGGCCTCGATACCGTTCGTTGCCAGTGGCCCAGTGCCTTTGATGTTCCACTCGTCGAAGACACCTGTACAAGTCAGTAGGGGTTCGTCAATACTATCTCTACAGGTGATGACATGAGACATATATGTGCTTACGCTTTTGCACCTCAGGGTCACCACGGGCAAAGTCATCGAACGTCTCCGTGCCCGGCTTGGCTCGATACACACTGAAAGTCAAGTAATGATCCTGAAAGTTCAGACCGACGCCAAGAAGATCGACAATTGGTTTGACTCCAGCCTGTCGCAGCTTTTCAGGGCTCCCTGCTTTTCGTTGGCTCGAGTTCTTCTAGTCAGCCTTCAGCATCACTTACCGATGCCAGAGCGCTGGAGAATCAAAGGAGAGGACATCGTTCCACTTGAGACGACGATCTGCTTGCGAGCTCGGAAAACGCGTACTCCGCGATCCTAGTAAATGTCCCCAAGTGAGTAAGGGCCATTCAATTCCCGGATTCGCGCTAACTTACGTTGCCCATAGGCTTCGTTGGACTGTCGGTGTGTTAGTTGACAACCTTGCACATGAGAGTGCACATCTCTGACTTACACAGTCTGTACAGCGACCGCTCGACCATTCTCGATGATTACCTTATCGACCTTGGTGTTACAAGCCAGGTATAAGTTTGAGTGAACGGCCCGAGTGGCGTGGATATAGGCATGAGCACTGTCACTCCGGCGGCCAGTCTAGGTTCGCCTTGTTAGTTTGCCACCAACCATCGAAGTAATGGACACTTACATCACGATTGATCCACTTCAACCACTGTTCAGCACCGTGGGCAGTTTTCAGATCTTGTAAGTCGTCCACTACGGGAATTCCTTGGGATTCAGCTGCCCTGAGGAAGTCATCCTTGATGGGATACGTACTATCACCTGTTAGTCTGAAACCGCAATCATTTCTCCATGGGACCTACTAGTTTCCAAAAGACACCTTGATGGGGCCTCCAGAGCCGTGGATATCCCGATTATGAGATGCACGCTGGTATGTTTCGTGCTTCTTCATGAGAGGAAGCAGTTCCTTGGTCGTCCACCCTTTGGCTTGGAAGTCATCATAGTCTGACGCGGAAGCTCGAGTGTACATCTGGGTCCAGTTAGTCTTGACTTTATGACAGCTGGGATATCACCATCACGCATACCATGAAGTTGATGGAAGACCCTCCGCCGAGCACATGAGCTGCGGGTACAATTGCCCCTCTACCACCGAGCCACTTCGATGGCTTGGACTCATAGAATGTTGCAGTCTTCGAGTCCAATTTCATATTCCGAGGAAAGATACCGGGTCGGAATATCCAAGGATTGTTGAGATTGCTCTCGCCAGCCTCAATGAGAAGCACCTTGAGGTTATGGTCGAGGTTCGCCAACCTGTCGAGATTTTTATGAGTTTCAAGGACGGCAAGTGCAGCTTGGGGCCATGCAACTCACCTGCCAGCAACCACACACCCACAACTTCCTCCTCCGCACACAATGATGTCGAACTCCTCCGGTAGGGGGGACATCGTGATATGAGTCTGCGTGTTGTCCAAATCAGAGTCTCTTTGGGCCCTTCCAAGTTTTGTCCTAAATAAAACCTCGATTCACTGATCCATAGAGGTATCTGGGAGCTCTACACTTCTTATACACGGCAATAGCCCCGCATTCACCTTCCTTCCCCTCTTCACCTACAAGAGTTTAAAGCCGACGATCCCTCAGGCAGCCGGATTCCCTGACAGTGGTCCTCGGATTGCTTTGATGATGATTTCTGGCCAGTGTTCGAGGTTTCCCCCCCACACCGAACTAGTCCTCAGGCCTTTCGGTCTTCCTTTCCCACGAGTCCTAACCAGTACAAAGTCCACTTGACCCGCAAGGGCTGCAATGCATCTTTGGAAACCCCTCATCAACTTACCCAGACGAGAGATGCATCACATAGCTGGACTGTGCCACGGCAGCTGCATTGGAATGAGCGGGGATGAATGAGTGTTTGTGGTGATGGCGAAGATCCAAGAACCCCCCTGGTGACTGACGACTCTGATTGGAGCCCGGCTTCCTTCCATGTGAGGCCTCATATAACAATAGCCGTCATATTTCAGGAAAATAGCTATTCCTGAACAACAGTTACTCGCTTTTACAACAAGCTCAGTTTCAAACTGCAGATAGTCCAAGCAGAGAAGCACTCATCAGACCGGTGTAAGCGGGGTCAATATGGCACATATCTGAAGCGGTTGATTAGTATCGACGGTGCATCGCCGTTCAGGTTTGAATAGAATCGCCAATGTTGTTCAATTGATCGGCACTCATCAGTATCTCCATGATACATTTATGGATCTTCAGTTTTGAAGAGGTGCCGAAACCAACATTGGAGTACATGAACTACTTCTTTCTCCTTTTACTGAATGTGATCAATCTTCCGGCTACCGGTTGTATCGGTCATGGTGCGTCATTGCTTATTTTCAAAAGTCTCTATTAGAAGGATGAAGGAGGGGAAGACGTTGCTTTTCATTGATGCTCACCCCGTGACGAAGACGAGTGACCAAATGCAACACCGCGCCATCAGTTCATGCATCTTCACAAAGCCAGGGCTGCAAGCAACTACAGTGCGGCTTCCACAAAAAGACCAACAAAATAACCCCCAGGGAAGAAGGTCATTACTATCAGATAGGGACAAGAGGTCTTTATAGTCAGCGCGGTGAATCTTGCTGAAGTTAGGGCGCTGCAGCAGTGCTTTGTTCATAGACGTTGGAATTGGCAAATTCGAAGCAAAAAGGTTCACGGCTTGCAGACGAACAAGATGTCTGAAACGATATCAGAAACCTATTCTGGGCGGTTTTTCTTATTCTCAGTGGGATGCATTTAGTTGACGACTCCGAACCTCTTGCGTAAAACATGCATTACCGGCACGGCACGGTAATGCACGTTGGCGAGGAAAGTGAACGCGGGGTTGACATTCAACAACCTGCAGCATCCAAAATCACCAAGGGACTGAATCGCTCTCCCCTTACCCCCTCCTCCTACGACAGACCTTCATTCATACCTGTCTCATGCCCATCAGTCATCATGGTTCTCCGGTCTCGAGTTCAGTTGTTTCAATGTTTAGAAAACAGGAACAGATGCTGTACGTCGTGAGCTAGTCATTAGTCAACTGTGAGAGACTCTCTTAGGATCACAACGGACGGCCTCGTTGACATTTCCATGAACGGGCACCACATGACTTCTTGTTGCCTCTTATTTCGAAGTGACAGCTTGTCTGACCGACCAACTTGTACCCATGTAAAGGGTAGCCTACCATTTAAGGTATTCGTTGCGAGAAACCGTAGCAATGCCGAGCACATTCAGAGATCAACAACACCCGGAATGTGATTATCCCCCCATCCTCCCTTTTTCCAAACGGATCATTATACAGATGAAGGGTCAAGAGAGATTTTCACCCCCACCTCTTTCTCGCTCCCAAAGGAGAGAAAGACACAGCATCGACAAGTCCCTTTCCCCTCTCTTCATTTCCCATCTTTGGATCTTGGCATCCATGGCAACCGAACATGCTTTCCCAAGCTTCCTAGGTAGGCTCACCTCGCCTTTGAATCGAGTGATCCGCGGTCTTTGTCTTCCCTACCTCCTACTCTCGAATTCCAACTCCGAACATCCAGGTCCAAGTTCCATGTCAGCAGAATAGGACAAGAATGGGTTTTCTTTTTCTTTCATAATTTATTGATTTATTTCTTTCCTCCTAGATATCCGGTTCTACTGTACAATTCCTACAGGCGATGTTGTACATAGGCCCATATTGGATATCAGACAGGAAAGACATGCCAAATTTTCCGAGCTTCGTGTTGGCCCAAATTCAGTACATCAGATTTTGGATTGTTCCGGAGCTTTATTTCATTGAAGGATGACAACGAGGACACACGAGTTGGTTCTGAGGAGTTATCACGACTGTGACTAGTTTGTATATGTGAGGCGTGTGCATGTTTCTATATTCATGGATGGATGAGTGGGCTTGATTTGGTTAGTTGGTATCTAGCTCTGGACAACTCTTTGCGCGTATAGATAGTAGTAGTACGAGCGTTTTGATCACGTTCATTGCTGTGACCTGGTGCAAGGCGTTGAATATGGTATGACGTGTTGACTTAACCTGTACGGTTTGCCGTATGGCTCGCACGCTGCGACGCGGAAATTGTTTTTTTGAGGGGATACTGAAAATAGCATGGTAGATGATAACCAACATGTAAGAGCGGCGGTTCAGATCCAGGAAAAGCATCGTCGAATGAGCTGAGCAGGAAGCTCGTCGCACTAGGTATAGTGAAGTCTTTGATCCAACAAGTGTGTAAGCTGTAGAGGCCAAAGCAGTGGCTTTGGCTTTGGGAACATATTCAGGACGTAGAAAAGGGGTTCTGACAGCCATCTTGTCAGCCATTTGTTCCAATCCTATCAGGGAAACAGTTGATGGTCAGCCGTCAGACACTCGACCGAGCCCAGTCGTACAGAGAAGGACCACGTATGAGCCGGGGGAACTATTATTAACCTGATTTCAGGGAGGTGATACATGATAGGTAGCGTATTAGTTGTTGACGAGACAGTTGTTCACCCTGGTTGGCCGTAACCTGGGATATAGTTGCAGGGTCAGGAAGATAACCTTTCGTGAAAGGTTTAGGACGACATGCAGGTTTGCGTACCTGGTGATCATCCTACCCAAGCCCGTTGCCGTGTAACGTAACGACGCAGGTGGCAGCGGGAAGGAAATCATAGAGGCAGGGGAAAAAAAAGGAACAGAGATGAAATTTAGATGCTAGGACCTAAAAACGCCGATTACCAAAAAGTGACAGATGTTCATCATCCCACCAGATGACCGAGCCGGTCTGGGAAAGCAAATCAACGGCAGAATTGCCAGTGTGAACCGTGAATGAACAAGTGAGACCCCGTTCATATACAGTTTGCTGCAAAATCGGATACTTCAGAGGTGACCTGTTGTTCCCTCAGAAAACCACCACCTACCCCAACAGCTCCATCCCATTCATGTCCATCGTCATCCCAAACTCCCAATAACCACAAGCAGAAGGCTCTGTGTTGTTCTTCGTCGTGTTCTTTTGCATCATAAGCGTTGTACGTATGTAGTATATCTCCGTCGATCCGGCATGCGTTTTCGAAATCGAACCATCCCGGCTTCACCGCCGTTTGGAGCCTCCGCCCAGTGACCGATCCTACCTCACCCCACGTATCCCGATAGCGGGACGACCCACCTAAACCGCCTCTCCCGATTCATCCAACCTCTCCAGTTCTTCAACGTTTTCTTCGCTCTTTCTTCTCCCGCAAAACTTAAGAAAAGGAAAACGGCCCGAGAGTTCCAGCACATGATTCCGGCTTAAGCCCGCAAAGCCCGCAAACGCTGTTGCAGGGCATCTTCCTCTTCCGGAGTTGGCTCGGCCGTCTGGCTCACCGCCTGCTGGGCAGCAGCGTTCGGATCAACCTTGCTGGCGCTGGCTTTATTCAGTTCCTGCCCCAGCTCTAGTCCGGCGTCGTCTGCGAGCTTGCCGAGCAGTTCGTGCACGGCATCGTCGCTCACCTGCACACTTGTGCTCTGCGTCATGGCGTCCGTGTAGATGCCGTTGCTCATGGCGTACTCCTCGTTCTGCTGCTTGTACTGCTCCAGCGTTAGGAGCGTCTTCTCGGGGTTCACGCTGCGCTGGGCCCGTGACATGGTCTTGGATGACTGGGCCATCATGAACGTCATGCGGTTCATGGCGTTGTTAGCCTGTATCTGGGCAACGCTGAGCTCGGCCATATCAGCGGCTTGGTCCATCTGTTGAGCGATGGCTTGTTTGGCAAGCAGCATGCGGGCTTTTTGAGCGGCTTGCGCGGTTTCGCCCTTTTTGAGAAGCTAGAAAATGTCAACCATGGCTTGTTAGTTTGGGCGTTCCTCTAAATGCGGTGACACGATGGCATGGGGGCGTTCGTAGGGAATGACGGGAATCATGTCATTTGAAAGACCACGATGCCCAGTATTGATAGTGGTAGACAGAGTATGAATGTGCATCCATCTAGGTAAGAAGAGCATCGCCAGTTCAGGAAGACATTGCGGGACACCGGCCAACAGACACCAGAGGGTAAAGAAGGAACGGAACGGGGTGACAAACATTCTGGATCTGCTTCTTCAATTCATTGTCTTGTTTGGCAGCCTTCTGGGCTTCACGTCGTGCTTGCTTGGCATTGAACTGCCAATCCGTGATGGGCATTAGCAACTAATCGATGTTTTCTCATGTTGTTCCGTGATTGTTCCATGCCATCTATGGAAGATCGCAAGCAGGGTAGGCGACGCTGCAAGGGATGGACCACCGACGCAAGGAACAACCCAAGGCCCAATGGCGGAACACATACGCGGGCTTGAAACTCAACTTGCATGTCTCTTGCAAGCTGTCGGTTCGCCATCTTGATTCCGCGGTGAGATGGTCTGTCGGTGATGGACTAATGGAGGGAGGTGGGGGGTTTAGGGTCGGGGCGACGGTCGGTGACTACGTAGGACTCGGCGGGGACAGCGAATGAAGTCAAGCGGTGGGCTTGGGCTTTGGAGAGCAGGATCCAGTTGTTAGGATATCGCGGGTACGGTTGTCGTGACGGATGATGGCCGGCGACTGGAATACTATCGGGTCGAGTAGGTAGGTGATGGATGGTGTGTCAACAATGGAATAGAGGTAGGTACCTGATCGATATCTTGGATGTCCGCAAGTGTTGAATGCTGCTAGGTACTAAAAGTTACCTTAAGTGCTACGTAAGTCACTGCTAGCCTGTAGTGCCTACTGTGCTGTTGCGTGCTGGACGGCGACGTACAGAATGGAGCACCCGACGGGAAACTGGAGCCTGGCGAGCGTGACAGGGTTGAGAATGACGGGAAGCCCTTCAGGTTGGGAAGATCCGGGACGTCCGTTGGTCGGCGGCCTGTCAGCGCGAGACAGTCGCCCGAACTACGGACCCGTGATTGGCCCGGATGAGACGCTGAAGTAGCATGTGGGGCCTCTGCATTGCCACCCCGCCCTGCCCGCGCTTTCCACAGATTCCACGCTATGACGCAGTCCTGTGGCTGGTGCCTCCTCTCGAGCCCCCTAAGTGTGTGTGCCAAACTGCCAGTGCGCCGCATTTTTAGAGGGTCCCGCTTGGCACCGTGAGTGACATTCGCTGGCCAATTGAGCGGTAAACAGCGAGCCTCGTTCGTTGCTGGGCGGTCTGCACTGTCGACCCGCATTGGTGTCGTTCGCTGAACGGAACCGGCGATTCCATCTTTTGACGGTTGGCAGTTGCGGTGGAGAGAACGGGAGCGTTTTTTGCCCTTTACCTCTAGGCCAGAATAGGAGCGAACAGGGGAGAGCCACCTAAATGAGGTGGCTCGGTCTCGCGAATTTTTTGGGGGCGGAAGCTAGAATACTGGCCAGCAACTGAACCAGACGGCAAGGGCCCGGATGACAGGGCAAGTGAAGTCCGAATGAAGACCGGCATCAAGCCACACAGTATCTCTAGCCTATTGTGCACGGGCAGCAAAGTCCCGCCAATTCGCAACGGACTGCCGACGGAAGGAAAATGAGCGCTCGCTGGGCTCAGACTGGCTACAAGCCTAGAGGTCTTTTCCGATAACTCTTTTTTTTTATTATCAGCGACCCCCAGTGGCTCCTGCGGGCTCTGTTCGTGGCTCGCGCGCCCCCCGAGCATATGAGTGAAGGGTTTTTCGTTTTTCTGGACAAAACTTAGAGCAGAAACCATAGACCACGGATTCCAATCTTTCCGGCTTGACTCGCTCCTCTTCTTCTCCATTTTATCTTCTTTGTCTTGGGCAATTTCCTTTTTTCAACAACATCTCTTAGACTCTAGACTTGTATCCATTTTCCTTTTCTCTTGGGGTCTCCCACTCAGCTAGGAACCACACTCCACCACAGCTCGGCTCGGAACACGACCCAACATCATGTCGATTCGCAAGCTCAACGTGCAGACCTTCCCGCGCCCCCCGCTGGTCGAGAGGGCGCCCCGTCACATCCAGATCAAGTGGCACGGGCAGCTCATCGCCGACGTCCCTCCTGGTGAGGCGTACTGGGTTTTGGAGACCCATCATCCACCTAGTTAGTCCACCCCATTCTTCCCGCAGTCCTCATTCCTACGTCGGGGTCCTCCAGCGTTACACCCCGTCCCGACATCCACTGCACAACCCAACACGGCCAGGTCCAGGCTGCCGACGTGTTGTGCGGATCACTCTTCACCCTTTTTTTGGAGGTGGAAGTTCTGTCGCTCAAACTGGAGCCACCTCAGCTCGTCCCGACGCTGCTGTGAATGCTTTGTGAAGTCGTCCACTAACTCTCATGCCTTCCCCCCTCTGCAGCTTACTACATCCCCCCTTCGCTCGTGCGCCTTCCGCTTGCGACCACTCCTAGATCGACTTTCTGCGAGTGGAAGGGAACCGCCACATACTACTCCATCATGAGTCCCATTTCGGCCGCCGAGACCATTTCCAACAGAATCTGGGCCTACAACGAGCCCGCAAAGGGCTACGAGGCCATTAAGGGCTACCTTGCCTTTTACGCCTCTCCTTGGGAGTGCTATGTGGACGGCGAGCGCGCCCAGCCCCAGCCCGGTGATTTCTATGGCGGTTGGGTGACGAGCGATGTCGAGGGTGTCGTCAAGGGCCAGTGGGGTACCTGGGATCCTGTTCTTTAAGGAATTCCAGATCGGGTAGAAAACAAAGAAACAATTTCAAGATCAGGGAGTATGGGGGGAGCTTCTCTTGGTGTGTTGAGGGGTTTTTCTGGAGTTGGGCCGGAAGGGTTATAGAAACGCATACACATGGCTGGTTTTTAAAACGGTGCATATGGGATCGGAAAGCGCATTGTGTTGGGAAGACAGCAACAGAAGAAAATGTCATCATCCTTTTAGAAGGCGCTGCAATACCTAGAAGAGGCATTCGATGCAAATCGACCATAGCATGTTGGATTCTCTTGCTTGAGCGGGATCACAGACCTGGTGCGTTTTGGCGTGATGATGTGACAGTTTTGGAAGTGTAGATGCTCGTCAGATGCGGAACGGGAACCGGAACGACGTCGTGGTATGAGATCCTTGGATGTGATGTTGATTAGGTGGGCGGAACCGGAATGCCGAGATTCCAAGCATGCACCGGAACCTGCGATCGTCCGTGAGGCATCGGAGAACGAAGCGGTGGCTGGGCTAGGCCGCATGTGTGTCCACCTCGGGAGCCCGATGCACTGATGTAGGAGGCCGCTTGGGACTTTACAGTATGACCCAAGCATCTGTATTATATGTAAAGAAGGTGACGCTGACAAGCCTGGAGGAAGGTAGTGTAGGTTGATCTGGGTTCGGTTAGCTGCACTGGCTTCAGACATGGCTCCATAGAATGGGGGTAGTGATATGTTCGAGAAGGGGTGTGGAAGTCACTAAAGAACAATGGAACAAACCCAGAGGCAAGGGATGGCCGCCCATATATCCTTTTCCATTAGTCTTCCCCTAGCACGCGTCGTCAGTTGATCCCCGTTATGAACTCCACAGGAAGTGGAGGGTTTCGTGGATTAGTCGTGGGTAAAGCTGGAGAGGAGATGGCGTTAAAAGTGGAAAGATGCTAAGTTTAGTAAGAATAATGGTGTGAGATTGGGGGTCACAAAGTGGGAAAGCCGAAAGCGTGTCCTATCCACCAGCGAATATGAATAGCAGAATTCAACAACATGGAAGTCTAGAAGGCGGCTCCATCAAGTAAGTGCCATGTGGGAGGCAAGCAATGACGAGAAAAGATGCGGAAAAAGGCTAGTAGCGAGATGGCAGATGGAGACACAGGGAGATGAGGTCGTGGTCCAAACCCAAGTCGCGGGAGGCTCTGCAGGCGTGTTTCGTTTCTAGGCTCACAAACAATTGAATTTATCTGCGGGGGAGCCGAACACCACTCTTGCTCTCTCTTTCCTTCTTTCATCGCGAGACATACCGAGTCTTCTGAATGGTCAAAAGGCCCAGAGCCAAGCAATGGTTGGCTCCGGACGTCGTCTCGTCACACCTTGCACTGTATCAGAGTGTAAGCGAACGCCACGCCATCCGCACTGGCAGTCCATCTTCATCCACCTTTGCTTAACTGCATCGGGGATGGCATTTCTCACCTCCATTTGAAAATGCCAGTGGAGAGACGGGACGAGCGTAAGACGCACCGAGACGTTAAATTTGGTCCGCGGAAGCATCGCCGCCGTCGGACTTGAATGCCACAATTACAGTCAAGACTGCGATGTCTCGTCAAATGCAGTGTTGCAATTCCGACGGCCATTCCACGCCAGCACGCTATCTTTCGCACATGTACTCTGCCGAATAGATCCGCCAGGCCTACCGCACCTGTCTTAGGAACGGAGGTATAGACTTGTAAATCTGCTTACTCGGGCGAAGAAAACGGTATCATGATCATACTCGGAAATAGATGACATGACTCGTCACGTACTTTTCTCTATTTCATTCACGAACAACACTAGGTTTGAGTCGTCTTATACTCGTCTCCAACACTGAATGCAAGAACCGCGGTACGTGCGCCGAGAACAGACCTACAACCCATCACCTGTTATTTGGGGCTAACCGTTCGCCATGTCAACTGAGAGGAAGATGAATAGACGAGAGGAACCAAATGGACGAATAGAGGAAGAACCCATAGCGAAGCTACTTGCATGGGTAACTAATGAAGTGACCGAGCAAAAACTCTCTGTTCAAAGACAAGGGCGAGATATCACCCTTCGCTCCCAGATTGTGCGACCGCAAACTTGGGAAACGGGCCAGAAGGAAATGAGGGGTCATCGATTGTTCGCGGGCTACGCCAATCCATTTTTGAGCGATCATAACCCAAGACAAACTACTGAGGGAGGGAGAAAAACCAATAGAACGAACGAATGAAAGGGACGCCGAAAGGGTTGATTCTGGATCGGAATGCCGTACGACAAGGCACCGAGCCCAGGGAAACAAAGAAAGAGAGAGGAGAGAAAAAAAAAAGAAAAAAAGAAAAAAAGAAAAAAAGAAAAAAAGGGAAAGCAAAATAAGCGCGAGGTCTTGGCGTTCTTTTCTCAGTCCTCCTCACCCATACTAACCCTTAGATTTCGAACTCGAGATATCCATACTGCTTCTGACTGGCTGGCGGATCCGGATCGGATCACCGCCCGATCAGCATGGAGCAAGCCACGTTCGGATATGCCAAAAATGAATCTAAATAAGGGTTCAACTTTATTGACTTCCTTTCGCGGGGAGAGATCGGCAGTTACACTGCCTACCACCTTAAGCATTCTACACTAGAGGCTGGACTTTTCGGAGACTTTAACCGCTCTCACCACCCTCTCATCCAAGGATCTACTAGCGTCTTTCATTGAGGAGAGACTAGATCGGCATTTTACAAGAACTTCAGTCCGGGTAACTACCTCTATTCGACCACGGAGATACCGTATAAAACGTGGAAATCGGAATTTAAGGTCTATGGCAAGTATCATCTCTGGGCCACATCTATGGGGTGTTCAAGCAGTTAAAGCAACGTGCTTTCCTCGAAGTTGGAAATCGCCAAAAGAATCGTACACTAAGTACAGTCTGTTGCGTTGACTCTACCTACCTGAAGTACGGTATCAGGTATGTGCATATCGGAGCTGCCGAGCTAAGGGGAATTTCTTGCAGAACCCAAGTCCGATTTTCCCGGGTTTTTTCTGTACCACAGTAAGCTGAAGCACGGCGTGTAAGCACAAATCTGCACATCTGACATCCGCATGATTGTATTTGTGTAATGCTCCATGAGGCTGCTCTCATGCCCGGTGGAAGACAATTCACAATGGTCCTGCAAGTGAATGGATTCCTCACATGTATGCACTGTAGGCTCACGGCTACGGGTACCACGGAGTAATCGGAGATTTCAAGAAGGTATAAGGATACGGCTCGTAAATCCAAGATGCTAATTCGAATTGTCAAACAACGGGGTTCAAGATTGCCGACTGCACGCTAGAGCACAAGCTGACGGACACTCAACAGCAGTCCTCGGCCAGTCGATAGAAGGAAGGTTATCGAGACACTTGCCCCTGGATAGTGTAGCGTACCACCGTTGTGGATTTGCGGGCGCGCGGAGCATTCCGACCTGCCCTCTTTTTGCCCAAACGGCCAGGCCCCTTTGTGGGGCAATTGATAATGCATGGTGGTGAGGGGACTTGATCAGAGATAGGGAAATGTACAGAGGGCTGAAGTTTCTTGAGCGAAAATGATGAACTTGACAAACACGAAGCCGAGACTCTCCTGAATGAGCTCATTCAGCTCGCTCCAAAAAGAAGCGGAGAATGGCCACAATGAGCTGTGCCTTTTCGATCTTGCTGCTATCGTCGAGAATCCGCTTTGTAGCGATGGAACCATATGCTGTTTTCATTCAGCTTCCCCTCTTTGTTTCATTGAATTGACGGAGGCCGATCCACTTGAGCTCTCCCCGCCTTTTGTCACTAACGGCTCCACTCCGGCGACGGGTCTTTGACTCCATAATCTCCTGCAGCGTGGGCCCGGATGCCATCAAGGTGGTTTCGTTCGTGTACGTAAGACGGCTCCGCAGACTCACCGCAAATAACATCCTTGGTTTTCCGTTCGGTCGCCGGGTCCGGTTTGAGCTGCCTCCGAACGACTTGGAGGGTGAGGGGTTGGTCGGTCGCCGTGGAATGCAAGCGGCATCGGGTGATGGCCGAGCCCGGCTCGGTGAAATTGGTCGGTTTGTGTTTGTTGTGGGTTTCTTAAATCGTGCGGCAATTGATCAATGAGATGAGCGCGTTCGCGGTCGTATTGAAAAAAAAGGGGAAAGGGGTTACGAGTTCATGTACGTGTGTGCTCCGCATTTCGGAAGCCACCATCCGTTACTTTGTTTCACTGGACTTCCACCGGGGTAATCAAGGTGCCATCTCTGTGACAGGAGGGGCCGCGCGCCGGCTAATGGTGCGTCCCAGTCTTTGAATTATCTATCTAGAACCGATGGATGGTATCTATTCGTTTCAAAGAGACGTTCCGGCTGCCAAAAGCTCGGCGCTGATGTTGAGTGGTCCGAGAGAAACAAAGGACGGGTGGGAATAGTCCCATCAAGACGCGTCGCGGCTAACCTTGGGAACCCACACTCTAATTTGTGGCTTGCAGCGATATGGCAGCTTTGGGCGATATTGCCCGCGATGAGGTCTGGAGCTTCACGGAAGCTGCGGCGTTGTCGACAAACAATATCGTGGGCTTTTGATGATTGCCGCAATGCCAACGTATCGGAAAAGATGGTCGGGCGATCAGATGGCGACAGCTGTTTACCGAATCTGCACTATTTCATGCATTGCTAGGTGGTTCCTATCAACACCCAGCAATGACACGCATGCAAGTTTTGTCGGTGTGACTGTCGAACTGATGATGTTCAGTACAAATCTGGCGATGAGTAACAGCGGTTCGTCAAAAAGGTGCCTATCGCCGGGTCCGCTCTTGCAGCTGTCTCCATCGTGGCTTGTCCCTTCTGCGGGCCTTTAGTTGTACGAAGATGATGCGAAGTGCGAACATACCTACCTCTACCGTATCTCACCTCAGCGCACCCACCGTCGGATGCTTCAAGTGAGAGGGACAAATCGAGCTCCTTACGATGTCGATCCCCGCCCGCCCGGCGATTCCGCGTCTTCCAACAATGAGGCCCCCCGGGCATGATCAACAGTAGGACCGGAGGGGCGCTTGTGTCAAAGGGAAATCCCAAGGGCTGACGCTAAGGTTCGAGCTTCAGAGGGGTTTGAGGAGCCCAGGGGCTCGAGGATGGAACTTCGG